ACATTGACAACAACACTTTGACTGTTTGTTTGAGTTGGTGAATTTAACTTCACATCTGCCACCGCCATTAAACCTTTTGAAACACTTACGCTTCTATTTTTCGGAAATGACATTTTACTTAGAATAAAAAGATGGACGTATTCGGATATCTCTTCGAATTGAAGCAGAACAAAGTTTACACACACAAACAATACAAATACATTGACAGAATAGTTCTTTATACAAACAATGGAAAATGTTATAGAATAGCAGTCTTTGCTGAACCAAAATATTTTCATAAAGCAAAGAAAGTTGGTATAACTGAAATGGTGAAAGTTCTTGAAGCAGACAAAAATATAACTTCAAAACTTACAGATATTTCTAAAGGTAAGTTTATAATACAATATTATGTCAAAACTGGCGTACTGTCAATATTTGACGGAGAGAAGTCAGTTCAAGAACAACTTACTGACCTGCTGCCAAAATCTGCTCGATGGAAGCTGTCGTTATGCCAATCTGAGGAGCCCCAGCAGGTTTCATCGAACGAATCTTCAAAAGAGCATCTTCCGTGAAAAGTGCTATTGGTTTTGTAAACTTCTTTGCTCTCAATTCATCTGGACCGTCTCTGTCACCAGTATATTGTATTTGAACTGTACCAACAGTTGAAATACCACCCATAAAGTCTTCTGAGTCAGCAAATGGAATGCCAAGCCAAAAGTTTGAACGGTCTCCATTTGTATATTGAGTTTTTTGACTTCCTGTATGAGTCCATACTTTCACATATGGCATAATAGAACTTTGCATTTCAGGGTTAATGGTTGTTGTGAAGTTGTTGTTAAAGTTCATAGCATCTAATGTCAAGTTGTATGACCTCATATCCTCAACTGTAGAATATTCTTCTCTTGGATAATATTTGCCATCTATGTTTATATGATATTTAATACCGGGGTTGTAGAAACAAGAATAGTCATTTATAGTTCGTCTGAACAGTACAAACATAGTATCTGCATGTTTCATTGCAGTTGTTAAAGCAATATCTGTTCTTGCACCTGGTCAGCACTTTGGTTTCCAACTTCACCTGCAAAGTCTTTGACAGATATTTGGTGTATAGGGAACATAAGTGGAACTGCAATATATTTGGCAGCTAAAGCATTTGAAATATCTGGGTCCAACATATAGACTGCAAGTCTGCTTTCTATTCTCTTGCATTCAAACTTTTCGCATGTGAACTTAACTGGGTCCCAAGCAGTTCCAGCAGCATTGAAATAATAGTTTACTTCAGTGTTGAGGTTTGAGAAACCAAAGTCTAAGTCAACTTTGTCTTTGCAAAAGTCACAGAACTTGGCTCCACCAGTTCCAGCTACAGTAATAGTGAATGGGTCTTGTGTTGGTGCAATGACTAAGTTATTTTGCTTGGAGTAAGTTCGATAGAAATTTTTCCTGCCCAGTTTGGCAAGTATCTTAAAAACCTGAAGATGAGGAAAGATGACAAAGGAACTCTAAGTTTCAGTTTTACTTTAGTGGCAGCATTTCCATCTGAACCAGAAAGGTTAACATAAACTCCTGGAACGTTAGGGTCAAGTCTTCTTATTTTCTCAATAGTTGCATACTGGTCTGTTTGTTCTCTAGCTTGTGGTTGTACTGAGTTTCTCAAAGCGAACCATTCATAGTTTGCCCATGTTACTGTTTGAACTAAGTCAGAGTTAGAATATATCTTATATCCCATGAAAACTTCTGGAGCATATTGGTATCCGACATAGAAAATTCCATTGCAACCTTTCTTGTCAGACAACTTGGCAGAAGGTTTTATTTCAATGTCTTGTTCCACGTATAAGAATGAGTTGTCAATAGAAATAATATGAAACCTGTCGCAAGCAATATCTACTGTTGTTGAAGAACCTTCTCCAAACTCACCTACGTTTCCATAAGAAACAGCAGTTGTATATTCGTAAGTTCCAGGAACTATTTCTGACCTTCTAATGGCATTGTCGCATTCGTTATACCATTCGGAAACATTTCCATTCATGGCATCCAAAACTGTTGGCGTTATATTCTGAGCGGCGTACATTTCATATGGGTAAAAATATAGAATAGTTGGATTTATGTGTCATAATAGAACCCACGTGGACCAAGCTTTACTTTCTTCCTGGCTGAGTTTTTAACTCTTCCTTTTCCTTCATTGCCACTACTTTCACTAGATGAAGTTACTTCTTCACTATTTTCACTTTGTTCTACTCTTCTCTTCTTCTTTGGTGTCGCTTTTGGTAACTTGCCCTCTGCTTCAAGTTGTTGCATCTTTGCCTCATGTTCACCTAGTATGTTGTAAATTTCCCATGTCCTTTTTGCCTTTGGGCTCTGGTCGCCCATCTCAGGTAACCTATATCCTAGAAAGATTTTGTCATAGTTTGTATTTGAGTCTTCGCGTATTGTTTGCATGACTCTTTCCTGAGTTTCCGGTTCAAGCTCTTCAAACAGAGCTTGTCCATATGGAATAAGCTCGTTTCCAAATATATGTTTTTGTAGCCATTCTGGTTTTCTTTCCATGTTACAATAATATCTTTTGTGAATGGGAAAGCTTTTACCCAATGTTTCAGTCTTGCGTCATTTATTTCTGTAGTTGGTTTTATTTTGTCAAGGAACATGTTTTTCAATACTAACATTTCATTTGGTACTGTCCATTTGAGTTTTCTTAAATATTCATCCCTTCTCGGTTCATTGTCTGCAAAGTAAGTTTTTATGACATTTTGTAAACTTTCGTTTGCAAGGTCATGTACAATAGGTTCTCTTCCTTCTGTCTCCCTAACTTTCTTTTTCTAAACTCTTCACCAAATATACCATCTCTATGGTTCTGTGTAGTTCTTTGAGATAAATGTTCTAGAACGTCAGGTGTTATATTTCCATCAGCCATGTTCATTTCATACTGGTCAAAATATCTGCATCTTTCATATCTTTCAATGGCATTAAAGCCGCGCTGAAAATACCAGCTAAATCTGGTTCACCATTCACTTCCATTGCGTCTACAACTTCTTGGAATTGTGGTTGTAAGTTTATGAACCACTATCCGGGTTAGCTTTATGACCCCATCTCATTGTAGTTCCATCGTCTGCAGAAACAAAAGTAGGTTTGTTTCCATCTTGGTTAGGTTCTGAATGAACTTTAAACAATGTTTCATTTTATATGTTTTGTTGAAATTTAACCTTTTATTTTCACCGAGTTCAGCAAAAGATTGAACGTTATATGGTCGTAAGTAAAAAGGGTTATTGTATTTGCGTACATTTTCTTTCAGTACTTCCATTCTATGCTGAATATTTTCATCTGGTGTTGGAGTCTTTTGTATGTCGGCAAACATTTTTCGATATTCTTCTACCATGTCAGCCGAATTTTTCTTAGACTCTTGGAAAGATTCCATATTCACCTCATACTCTTGTTGAGGGTCAAGATTTTCGGCTGTTCCAAATCTTCATCTAGTTCTGTGAAGTTAGTTTCCAAAGGAGGGACTTGTTCGTTTCCTTCAGGCTCTTCTAGCTGTTGTTGCTGAACTATTTCTTCCATGTTGGTTGTATCTGAACTTCTTCCTGTTGAGTTTCTTGTACCTCATCTGGTGGCATTTCATATATTCCGAGACCGTTTTAACAAGTTCCCTATCTAAGTCATCCGGACTCATAAACCTTTCTTCTTTCGTTCCGTCTCTATTTTTTACGCGTTTCATGAAGAGAGTTGAATTATCATTTAGCTCTGACATCAAATATCTCGGAGTAAATTCATTCATGTCATTTGGATGATATGCTATTAAATCATATCCCTTAGCGAGCTTGTATTTTCCAGGTTTGAAATTATATCCCATTTGGTGCTGAGCCATAAAGCTAAATAGGTTCGGGTCAGTATTTCCTTCCTTGAACTTTCTAATAGCTTCTTTATATCTGTCACTAAAGTCAATAGTATCTGGGTAACCATAATCTTCCTTAAGCATTTTTAAGAATTCTTGGTTTCCTTTTTCTTTACTTCTTTTATGTCCTTGCTCTGTTTGTGGTTGTTGTGCAGGGTTTTGAACTGTTGGTTGCTGTGTTGGTTGTGGAGGTGGTGCAGGTGCAGGGTTTTGAACTGTTGGTTTTGGTTGTGGTTGCTGTGCTGGATTTTGAACTGTTGGTTGTTGTGTTGGTTGCTGTGCAGGGTTTTGAACTGTTGGTTGTTGTGTTGGTTGTTGTTGTTGTGCTGGATTTTGAACTGTTGGTTGTTGTGTTGGTTTTGGTGCATGCCTGTGTCTGTGTCCATGTGACGATGTAAATGTTTTAGGTAGTCCTGGTGCAGGTGCTTCTCTTGGAGGGTTTGGTGGTATATAAGTTCCACTAGCTAGTATATAAGTTCCACCAGCTGGTATATAAGTTCCACCAGCTGGCACATATGTTCCATCTGCAGCATAATGTCCTACCTGACTTTTCGTTCTTAAGAAAGCATTTACTAGGTCTGTTTTGGTCTGTTGTAACTCTTTTTCTTGACTTTCCACAACGGTTGCTCTAACGGCGTCATAGGCACTTTGAACTGCCTGTCTCGTTGCAGCATCTGTTATTTTCGTCATATTTTGTGCTACTTCTCTTAACTCTTTGTCGAAACCTTCAGACTTCAGTTTCTTTCCAGATGAGAAATCGTTCACTAGTTTCACCTTACTATGAAGAGCTTCGAAGGCGTTCTTAAAGTCAGCATTCATTAAAGCTTCATTTGAACTGTCTTCATCCGCTTGTATTTTTGTCCTTATTGACCCTATAAGCTGGGCTGCTTTAGCGTTGGCTTGGGCATCTAACCAGTCATTGTTAGCTTTTATATATTCTGCGCTTTTCATTGCCTTTTGCATGGCTGCGTCGTTATTTTTACTTTCTTGTGCTAAGTTTTCATACTGTACGGTTTGGTTTTGCAAATGTAAAAGTTTTTCTGCCTTTACATTTGCTTCAACTTCCTTTTTATACTCATCGCTATCCATATATGTCTTCAGGGCTTTTTGTTTTATCTCTTCATCTTTCAGTACTTTATATTGAGTAGTATGGTTTTTCAAATTTATAACATCTTGTTCCATTTTTGCTACTTCTGCTGCTTTTTCTGACACTTTTTTCGCATATTCCTCTGTACTTAGTTCTTTCAGTTGTTCTTCTTTCTTCTTTTTCTCTACGTTTAACTCATTGAGTTTCTTTGTGTGTCTGTCATATTCTAGTTTCTTTTCGTTTTCACTTATTTGTTTCTGTATGTCTATGTTTGACTTTTTGACATCTGTTATTTGATTTTTGAGTGAACTCAAATTCATTTGACTTTGAGGGTTATAAGCTGTTCCGTCTGCAGCTCCACCATAGCCTGCCATTTTCGCTAAAAGTGCCGCTCTTAAACCTCCACTCTGTGCACCAATAACTCGGCTTAAAAGCATAGGGTTGCTTGACATTTGTTGCAACATAGTGGGGTCATTCATCATTTGTTGTTGCAACTGTTGTTGTGGTGTCAGTTTTACTATTGGATGTTTCAATGCTCCCTTCCTCTTACGTATATTCTTACGTAGCTTACGTGGCATTTTAAGTGAAGTTAAAAAGCGGTTTTTGACAGATGTTTATATGACACTTTTTGTTCAGCACAAAAAACTACTCGGTCAAAGTGTTATCGGTTTTGTAAAATAACCGTCCTATCTCATTCTATAAGGGAGAAAAGGCTTCTCAAAGTATACTTCCTTGGAACGCCCGTAACTTTTCCTGTAGCGACGATAGACCCTTACTTGTCCGGACAAAGTTATACTATTTTGAGTGCTCTACAAAAACCGTTGTGTAAAAAGTTTTACCGTTGGACAAAAAAGTATATATAGAAAACAAAAAACGTTTATAGTTCATTCAATATTTGAGATGGAACGGTTTGCCAACGGTAACTATTAAATAAAATAAAAAAATAGAGGGGGTTACCGTTGACAAAAACCGTTTATTTCAAACTTTTCTATGAGTGGTCCGAAAAAAAAACAGTTCATTTTTCATAATGGAAGGAAGAAAAAGTGTCGCAAACAATTCGTCGACTACCTCTGCAGTTAAAGTTCCTACAACTTATGTCTCACCATTCTCAAAACCCTTACGACCTCCTATAATACCAAAGCAACTTCCTCATACAATTCAAGACAATTTGTTGGACAATATGCATTTGCACAAAGAAACAGCTCAGCCAACAGGTCAGGCAACAACAACTATCGGAACAGAAGCATTTTCAGAAGAAGTTCATACCAATCAGACTCCAATCGAACATACAGAAACACAACCACCCGAAAATACAGAAACACATCCAATCGAACATACAGAAACACATTCTGCAATGACCACTAGGTCGCAAACACGATATCTCGCCTTTTGCAAACAATTTAAGTCTCAAATTCAAGACACACAAGATAGCGACACTCCTCTTTCAGAGAAAGTTCGTAGAAAATACGCAAAGAAAAGGTTAGAATTGTTAGATAAGTTAAATGAACAGTGGGGTTCAGAAGACAATCGAGATTATAACGAGATGTTTCAAGCTGTCATGGATGCCATTCAGCCACTTGAAAACGAAATCAAAGACCCTGGCGTACTTGTTGACATGTTTGCTTCATATTTACCCGTTACTGCCAATCTCATAGCGTTGCAAGCTATTGACCAGTTCATTCACTTGTTTCCAAAGAACTTGCAGAAGCATTTACAAGAAGTTAAAATTGCTGAATTTGTCCGTTTATATCCAAATTCATACAATTATTTGGAAGAATTGAATGAACATGGTGAAAGGTCATTCTATTTATATTTCTACACAAAAGACAACCAGTCAAAACGACTATACTGCATTGAACCTATGCCTCAATTCTTAGACAATTTCCACGTTATAACAACTGTTGCTGTAGATATTCCTGCCAGAGTTCCATATGGAGGAACAGTAACTATCTCAAGCTTTCCCAAGGGCTATAAAGGAAAGCCTCTCACAATTGCAAAATTCACACACAGCAGTTGCCAATTTGTTCAAGATGTCGAGTTCCATTTCCTCAACAATACGACTTTCATCATAGAGACTCCTCAAGAAGGTATATACAAAGTTTTCATCGCAGGATTTGTTGCTCCCAATGGCGAAGAAGAAGTCGAAGAAATCCTCACCTCAGAGAGCGAAGAAGAAGAAGTCGAAGAAATCCTCACCTCAGAGAGCGAAGAAGAAGAAAATTTCCAAGACATTCAAGATTCAGAATATACCGAATAAAAAAAACAATTTAAGACTAAAAATTTAATTTTATTATAATATTTTTATTTTTTTCATCTGGTCTTTGTATCATTCCTCCTCTAGTTTCTCCGGGGCTAGAGGGCGCAACGCGCCTGGAAGCCCCACTACCTTTTTTTTATGTATGTTTGCAAAAAAAAATTGATAAAAATGCACCAACAGAATTAATAAGATGATGATATAATTGATTTGTATACCAATAAATATACAATTGTATCTATTTATTTTATAAGAATTTACATGTTTTAAATTCAAAATTCAAATATTTAAACAAAATCTCAAATAAAAAATGAAATTTTTTAATTTTATTCTTGTTTTGAATTTCAATATAGATCTAGGGATGCGTTAAACACGCCATTTGACCGGGCGTACATTTTTTTTGTTCGCCCAAAAATTTCGCCATTTGAGAAATTCAAAAATTAAAAATAAAATTTTAATCTTGATTTTTTTATTTTCGTGATTTTTTTGAAACTTACATAAGCGATGAAATACTTTTTTTAAGTAATCGTTTATTATATATAAATATATCTTAATAAATTTAATTCCTTAAGGTAGAGCGTGTTCAAATTTAAAATCTCATACAATATTTTCTTAATGGCGTATTTTTCTGAGGTCGCCCAAATAAAGGCGAATTCAAAATTGAGAACTCCAAGGCGTATGGCGAGTATTCAAAAAGAACGCCACTTACAAAATATTGAATGTGGATTATCAATTTTTTGGCGTGTTCAATTTCAAATTTTGATATTTATGTTTATTTTATTCAGTATAATGCTAAGAATTAAAATATAAAATTCATAGAATTTTTTCTTTGAAAATATTTTACATTTTTATTAGACCACTCCTAGACTAGTCATCAGGTTATCCTCAGATCATCCTCAGACTACTCCTTATCAGATTACTCATCATCCTCAGACTACTCCTTAGACCCCTCCTCATCAGACTACTCCTCAGATCTTCCTCATAAGACTCCTCCTCAGATCTTCCTCCTGAGACTACTCTTCAGATTACTCCTTAGAGTCCTCCTCATCAGACTAGTCCTGAGACTAGTCCTCAGACTACTCCTGAAACTACTCCTCAGATTATCCGCAGACTCCTCCTCAGATTATCCTCAAACTACTCCTCAGTCTAATCCTCAGACTCCTCCTCAGATTATCATCAAACTACTCTTCGGTCTAATCCTCAGACTCCTCCTCAGATTATGCTCAGATTATCCTCAAACTCCTCAGATTATCCTCAGACTACTCCTCAAACTCCTCAGTCTAATCCTCAGACTCCTCCTCAGATTATCCTCAAACTCCTCAGATTATCCTCAAACTCCTCAGACTACTCCTCGGTCTAATCCTCAGACTCCTCCTCAGATTATCCTCAGACTCCTCCTCAGATTATCCTCAAACTCCTCCTCAGATTATCCTCAGATTATCCTCAAACTCCTCAGATTATCCTCAGACTACTCCTCAGATTATGCTCAGATTATCCTCAAACTCCTCAGATTATCCTCAGACTACTCCTCAAACTCCTCAGTCTAATCCTCAGACTCCTCCTCAGATTATCCTCAAACTCCTCAGATTATCCTCAAACTCCTCGGTCTAATCCTCAGACTCCTCCTCAGATTATCCTCAAACTCCTCAGATTATCCTCAAACTCCTCCTCAGATTATCCTCAGACTCCTCCTCAGATTATCCTCAGACTCCTCCTCAGATTATCCTCAGACTCCTCCTCAGATTATCCTCAGACTCCTCCTCAGATTATCCTCAAACTCCTCAGACTACTCCTCAAACTCCTCAGATTATCCTCAAACTCCTCAAATTATCCTCAGACAACTCCTCAAACTCCTCAGATTATCCTCAGACTACTCCTCAGACTACTCCTCAACCTCCTCAGATTATCCTCAAACTCCTCAGATTATCCTCAGACTCCTCCTCAGATTATCCTCAAACTCCTCAGACTACTCCTCAAACTACTCCTCAGACTACTCCTCAACCTCCTCAGATTATCCTCAAACTCCTCAGATTATCCTCAGACTCCTCCTCAGATTATCCTCAGACTCCTCCTCAGATTATCCTCAAACTCCTCAGATTATCCTCAGACTCCTCCTCAAATTATCCTCAGACTCCTCCTCAGATTATCATCAAACTACTCTTCGGTCTAATCCTCAGACTCCTCCTCAGATTATGCTCAGATTATCCTCAAACTCCTCAGATTATCCTCAGACTCCTCCTCAGATTATCCTCAGACTCCTCCTCAGATTATCCTCAGATTATCCTCAAACTCCTCAGATTATCCTCAGACTCCTCAGACTACTCCTCAGACTACTCCTCAACCTCCTCAGATTATCCTCAAACTCCTCAGATTATCCTCAAACTACTCCTCAGATTATCCTCAAACTCCTCAGACTACTCCTCAAACTCCTCAGACTACTCCTCAAACTCCTCAAATTATCCTCAGACAACTCCTCAAACTCCTCAGATTATCCTCAGACTCCTCAAACTACTCCTCAGACTACTCCTCAACCTCCTCAGATTATCCTCAAACTACTCCTCAGATTATCCTCAAACTCCTCAGACTACTCCTCAAACTCCTCAGATTATCCTCAAACTCCTCAGACTACTCCTCAAACTCCTCAGACTACTCCTCAAACTCCTCAAATTATCCTCAGACAACTCCTGAAGCTACTCCTCAAACTCCTCAGATTATCATCAAACTCCTCAAACTACTCCTCGGTCTAATCCTCAGACTCCTCCTCAGATTATCCTCAGATTATCACTTTACATATATATATCGATAACTAAATAATTACTTATTATACTTTCTTTATTTTTTTTTAATTTTAAAATAATATTAATATATCTTTCTACGTTTAATGATGAAAAGAGAAAGAGGAGTAAAAAGAGGAAAGAGAAAAGAAAGAGAGAGAGAGAAAAAAAAGAGAAAGAAAGAAAAAAAGGACGGCGATAATTTTATATTGTTTTGTTATTCGGCCGAATGGCGGGTACAAAGTACCCGCCATTCGGCCCCAAAAATGGCGTATTATTCTATTTTTAAACGGTCATGGCGTAAAACCGTCGCATCCCTAATAGATCTTTTAATTTCTCAACATAGAATGTCATACACCTATGGCTATGGCATCCCAAACGGGAACCGCGGTTAGTTACCATGGATTTCCGTCACCGGTCACATTTTAAAGATTTTTTAAGCCTTATAAAAATATGCTTTGTAAATCATTTTTTGTAAATCGGCAAAAATTTGGTAATTTTCTTCAACTAATAAATCTGCGAATAGCATTTATAATACAAGAACAATCTTTTAAAATGCGTTTGATTCATTTTTGTATAATTTCATATAGGCACATATATTCTTCCGGGACTTTCCGTGATTTTACCGTAAAATCATTAGTTTACACAATTTTCCGTATTTTGAATAGTTTACTGCACTTTTTCCGTAAAATTGAGTTACGGGAATCCGCAAAATTTCCGGACCTCATTTTTCATAGAATATAATAATAATATTTGATAAAAAGATATATTATTTATATTTTTGATTTTTGAATTACGGAAAAGTGAATTGATAACTTGATTTTTTTATATGGTTAATTTTTCAAATGATATTATGAAGATCTAAAATATTAAAAGTAAAAAATTGAATTACGGAAAAAGTGAGGTCAAAAGTGAAATAAATTTGCAGAACAATTTTCATTGAAATAAGCTTTATTTTTCATTATTAATAACAATGCAAAAAATATTTATCACGGGTTCAAAATTTAAAATTAAATATTTTAATAATTTACATCTTATTCTTTATTTTATATTTAACCCGTGAAAATATCATTTAAAAATTGAATATATCTCATACCGAAATGGCTCACCAAAAAGGTGACATTTTTGGCGCCAATAATTTGATTTTTCTGATTCTTTCTATTTAGATATATTTATTTAATATTCATATTCCTTTATATTGCCTCATATTATTTCCCATTTTTAATCATATTATACAAATCTTTAATAATTTTTAATGTTTTGAGCTTCAAAATCTTGTTCTTGTTGCATGCTAAGTTCGGTCAACGATAGAAATTGAGTGGAAATTAATCGTCGAGGAAGTACGATTATGTAAAGTAAAAAAATGTTGTGGGATTTTTAATATTATATATTATTTTATAATAAAATTTTTTGAGTCATTTTAAGAAGCACATATAATTTTTTGAATTGAAAAATTAAAGTAGTGTCAAACGAATTTATCACTTAATTTAATACTCAGATTTCTTAAAATTAATGAAAAAAAGGTTTTCTGAGAACTTTTGAGAATGGTTTTCAAATTCCATTATTGAAAATATATAGGTATTGTATGAAATTCAAACTCTATATTTATTAAAATTCTAAATTTTTAATAAAATAACTTTTCAGAGGAATATGATTTTGAATGGTTGATTAATAAGTATAAAAATGTCTACGATTTTAAGGAGGGAATTGTTCCTTATGAGGTATACATCATAACTATATACCTCATAAGGAACAATTCCCTCTTGATAGCTGGGAAACTTTCTCTGAATAACTTATCATTTGGAGAAAGTTTCCCAGCTATCTATTAGAAACTAAAGGCTGTGAGGCACTAATATATAATCAGTGCCTCATAGCCTTTAGTTTCTTATTAAAAACGAGAAAACTTGTTCGAAATGATAAACAATTTCGAACAAGTTTTCTCGTTTTAAGGAGGGAATTGTTCCTTATGAGGTATACATCATAACTAGATACCTCATAAGGAACAATTCCCTCTTGATATCCTGGATATTTTTGAATATATTTTTTTAATTAAAGTTCTCAAAAGTATTATCAAAAGTGATTTTTTAAAAAATATCTCCAATTAATTAACTAATTAAAAGTATTATATTTTTAAAATTAAATAGTTTTTCAATTTTTTTGAAGGAATTGAGATACTTCCCACGACAATAAAATTGAGAGGTTTACATTATGACTGATCTTAGCATGCAACATTCTAACTATTTTCATTCATATATCCTAGAAAAAATTAAAAAGTTTTTTAGAAATAAAAATGTTTGTATGTAAAGTATTGAAAATATTCTAGATGAGAAGACATTCTCCAGAAGAGATTGATATTGATTGGCTTTGTGAAGCCATCACAAAATCAAATAATGGAGTTAAGTTAACTGATATTTGCGCGAAAGCTAAAATAAATCATGAAGGCAGAGTTATATATAATCATACTATCTTAAAGTATTCCTAGAAATTTCCAAAATTAACCGAAATATAACTGTACAGAATTACTATTTTCGAGATAAAATTCATATGGAAATACTAATTCATAACGCTTTATGTTATATAAAATTTAATTTATAAAAATTTCAAAATAAATCAAATTTAACACAATGAATATAACTGCAATCGAGGTTTTTGACGATTGATTCTTACGAGAAGTTTTCCAAACTTTGAGTTAATGTCTTGACATTAACTCAAAGTTTGGAAGTCTAATAAGGGGAATTGTAGGCTATGAGGTACTGATTATATATCAGTGCCTCATAGCCTGCAATTCCCATTAGAAATCGGAGAAACTTTGTCCGCATAACTTATGATGTGGACAAAGTTTCTCCCATTTCTACTTAGAATGAAAGGGCAAGAGGTATATAGGTACACTATATATCTCTTGCCCTTTCCTTCTTACCTAAAGACTTCCAATCTTATTTTTTTTCAATTTTTCCCCTAAATTTAAATCTTATATAATATAAATAAAATGCATAATATCAATCACAAAAATTAATGTTTATTTTTTTAATTAAAATTGCCGCGCAATTTAAGGTTTTCTGTCACTTTTTTGTTAGCCATTTCGGTACGAAACAATTTAAAAATTGAATATATTCAAAAAGCTTTATTTTTATTATGACTGCATGGGATCCTCATGTATATGATGAGTGGATTCCATTTAAGAAGACGAAATATCCACCAACTCCTGAAACATTGGAAACAAAGTGTGGAAAAATGTTTCACTACGATCGGCTATTATGAGAATGAGCCTAATCAATCAGACAAAGGAAGGCTCTTTACATACTGTGCCGAATGTAGTGAAACATTAGTTCAAGGGCAGTTCGTGCGATGCATTAAAAAAAGCAGGAAAAATGATTTTAAAGATCATAAGTGCAAATTTTTACTCCCAATGCCCAACTACGTTCCTGCTGAGCACCAAGTTGAGAATACTCAGCAAGAAGTTGGCTCTGGTAATGATCCTTCGTTAGAAGAGATCATTGCCAGGCTTATTGCGAGCCTAAATATAAGCCTTTATGCCACAATGAAGCCAGCATTTAAAAGCTTCCTAGAGAGCTTCGCCAAATGGCTTAAAAATAAAGTCAATCGCGAACAGGGCATCAACTTTACAATCCCAGACATTGAGTTCACACGGCGCGGTGTCAGAGAGGCATTGATTACTTTAGGCAAAACAGACTCCTCTCGGAGTAGGTGCCAAAAGTGCTTACTCTTAAACAACCGTCGGATTTCCGGGTGAAATCGTGACACACTTTCGTCTTTCGTAGGCAGTGGTGGTTGTTACAAAAGGTAACTTCGAATGTAGCGTGAAATCTGCAAAAAAATTCTGAAATTTGAATGGAGAACACAAAAATTGAATAGTTTACGTCACTAAAAAAGAGAAAAATGAAGCCAATTTGTCTCGAACCTAGGACTTAGAACAGCAATCACAATGTTTATCCCATTACACTACATGCATCTCTCACCTCAGTGAATGAGATCAACTATATGATAACTTTTTCCCCATTATATTCTTGTGGAAAAGTGACAAATAGCAACTTTGACCCTCTCTCCTCCTCTCGGGGCCTAAAGTTCTGCGAGGAATTCCGCATCTTCTCAATTTCCCTGGACTGCGGAACACACGGCAGCCGTCATGGTCTATTCTCTTGTGTGTGCAATCCAGGCAAAATAGATCGCCACCAATTCTTCGACACAACAATTTCGACTAATTGGACATACGAGGACTACCATACGTGGTTTGATTCTCTTAAGGTTAATAAAAACCACGTAGCTGGAGTAGTCGGAGATGGTTTGCCAGCCCAGGTTAAAGGACTCTGCCACTGGAGGCCAGAAGGAGCCCTTTTCCCTGGCTTACAAACCGTGTACATTCGTTGCCTTAACCACGTCTTGAACAATGCTCTTGTCCACGCACGTAAGCAATGTCCATTGTTGAATGAACTGATGAATAGAGTTCACCAGATTATCATTATCTTTAAGAATTACGATATGAGAGCGAGATACAAGATCAGGGTTCCATCAATCCCGGAAACTCGCTGGCTCTACATATATGATACTCTGTTTTTCATCTTTGATAATCTGGAAACAATTAATACTGCTTTAATAAGTGGAGATCTTCCACTATCCCTTTCCAGAGCTACACGTGAACAGTTACAATGGACACGTGATGGAATTCCTCCACTCTTTAAAGATGCTTTAATGATATTCAAGCCATTAAAGCAACTTCAATTATGGCTGGAATCCAACAAGTCCATGGGTGCTTATGCATTCCTGATGATACAACAGTGCCAAGGGATGTTGGATGAAATGGCAGGAAGATTAACGCCAGATGGTGAAGAGATTCTCCGATCAATCACTACAATATTCAAAAATGATATGAAAGAATATGGTAGAATTGATTTGCTTCGGTTTGCTTTCGGCTTTACACCGTTAGCAAGGAAGATCATCAGAGACAAGAAGGGTTTTGGAGGAAAGACAAGCTATCCACCTATAATGCAGTTGAAAGATGTGCAAGTCCCAACGATTCCTTCCCTGAGGATCATCAATCGCGAGATCACATTTGAGAAACTCGGCGAAATCCTTGAAGAAGAACGAACAGAACGTGTTGACGAGGTAGCCGAGCATGATGAAGAGATCCAGCAAGCAGAAGAGGAACAAATGCTTAACGACGATCATGCAGCCGAAACAAATGCCGATGGTTCGAGGAATTCCTTGGTCTGGGATGTTGTAGATGAAGAGATAAAAGATCTATACACATTCATGATAACAATCCTCAGACAAAGAGCAATTGCCGAATCAACAGTTGATCCAACGATCAATAAAGACGATAGAGCCAAGGAATTGAGTGATGCTTACGATTTCTTCATAGAGCAAGATGATTCCCATCTTATAAATGGTCATCATCTTGCTCAAAATGATGGCAAGTTTTGGTACATGAATGGCATAAAGCAACTAAAAGCATTAAGACCAAATGGAAAAAGGATGATGTCACTTTCGTGCAGTGAAGCAGATGTAGAACGTGTAATATCTGAATTGCGAAAGACAAGAAATTCAATGAACGAATCATGCAAAGAAGAATATGTAGCATGCCGCTTCTTCATCAAGTTGAATGATGATCAATTTGATATTTGATTTTGTTTTTTAATAAAATTTATTAAATAATTTGTTTTAAAAAGTATTATTTTTATTCGTAAAGATATTAGACAGACGGTGGCCAGCCTAATGTCTATCAATCTTTAATATTAGTAGTAATTTCCCGCATTTCTGAATGATGATTGATTAGCTTTGCTGTTATTGATGTAAAACTGGATAAGTATTAAATAATCTCGTAAACGAAAAAGGGGATTTGACTCCGTCAAATCCCCGATCACAAAAAGTGGACTTTACATGTCAAATTTTAAATGCATGTAAGGTCCACTTTTATGAGTTTTAGGAAGGAATTGGAGGCCATGAGTTACTGACATTTCATCAGTATCTCATAGCCTCCAATTCCTTCGCAAAATGGGAGAAACTTTGTCCGAATAGTTTAACATTCGGACAAAGTTTCTCCATTTTAAGAAGGAATTGGAGGGTAAGAGATATACCATATGAATGTATATCTCTTACCATCCAATTCCTTCTAGAAAGTGTCCAAACTTTGGGTTAATTGCAAACTATTAACCCAAAGTTTGGACACTTTCAAGTGGAGATGGAAGGCTTTGGGTATATATTAATACAATATACCTCAAAGCCTTCCATCTCCACTACAAATGGGAGAAACTTTGTCAGAATAGTTTAACATTCGAACAAAGTTTCTCCCATATTTCAATGTAATTGCTACCTGTGAGGTACTGATTTGAAGTCAGTGCTTCACAGGTAGCAATATTCACAAAATTTAAAAACATTTTATCAGTTCGTTAGATAACCAGAGCCTCCTAGGTACTGAACCAGAATCAGTGCCTAGGGGACTCTAGTTATCTATATAAATCTGAGAAACTTTGAGGAAATTGTTCGACATTTCCTCAAAGTTTCTCAGTAATTTAGTGAGGAATGTTCGTTATCGTGTAAATATTTATAGTAGGCAAAATCGCAACCGAATTTTTAAATCTAGATTTTGATGATAAATTGTGATTTTTAGCTTAAATCGCGATTTTTTAAAAATCGCGAACAGAATTTTTTCGCGATTTATTAATAAATCGCAATTTGAACGATAAATTTCGATTTTTTTAAAAAATCGCGATTCGGGAAAAAATTGCGACTTTTTGAAAAATCGCGAACTTTCAAAAAAATCACGTCCTTAATTTTGGTCTTTTTCGGAGTGATAAGTCGTCCTTTAAGTAATATTTTTTTTCTCGAATTGCTAATTGAAAAATTAAATTCGAGAAAAGAGATTACAATAGTATTGTATGGACTATAATCCTACTACTATAACACTTTTTTTGTGAAAATCACACTTTTTTAAAAAAAGATATCAAATTGAAAAAAATTATTCTTATATTTACTTATACTGTAGGGCACATTCATTGGTTATGAAAATCACATAGTATGAATACTCAATCCCAAATATCTTAAAAAAATATTCTAAAATATTAGACTCGATTTTAGCAATTGTATTCTAATCATAATATAATGCCCGAGTATATTATATAAATAGAACAAATATTAGTAAATTCAATTTTTTTTTCAGATCGCAAATTATCTAATACAAATATTCATAAAAATCACATACAGTATATTTGCATTCAATGTCAAATATAATAGCTATCTAATACTTTCGAAAAATTGAGCTTTTGAATATTTTATAAAATTTCTGGTCCAAAAATTGTGCTTTCACAATATTATGATGATATCTATAATAATTAGACTACAAATATAAATTGTATAATAAAAAATCAAAATTTGCTTTTGATATCTCAAATCTCGATATGAGATATTCAATGTCAAATCAAAGTATTCATAATTAACAGATTTGTATCGTGAATGCTTTCGTTTTGCTTAATACACAATTATGCATGACAAGTGTGTGTGGCTACACAATTCTTTCCGTCCGAAGCGGAGAATTGTGAAGTTTACACCGCATTTCACGGATAATATAATGGAAATACGATTTTCATGGAATACTATTTTTATTAATAGCTTAATAAATGAGCGAGTCTGATAGATATATGTTACGCAAGATATATCCATAGAGAAGTGTTTAAGTATAAAACAATGCGTTATACGTTATATGTAGGATATATATGGTTTTTCTCCATTGAGAATTTTGTCATGTGAAAAATCTCTTTTTTAGCTATGATAAAAATACTTTTTATATACTATTATATCTCAGTTGATGTTGATTCAACATTCTTATTTCACATGATAATATAATAGTATATGTAGCGAGGTATTATATTCTCTTGTGATTTCGATCTATTAATGCTCACACAAAAAATTCGCTACATCAAAATTTCCTCGGAAAATTTCACTTTTGCTGCTTTGATTCAACTTTGATGTCCAATGAATACTCAATAAAACTCGAAACTCTGATCATGGAGATCTATCATCACATATATAATTATATTGCTTAAATATGTGTATAAATTGTATTTTGGATTTTTCGGATTAAAAAAGGTTAAAAGTGTCATATTGATATAATTCACATTTTTGATTTCGTTACTTAGAAATGAGAATTGGTCAATAATTTATTATCCATTTGTAATTATAAAGTGTTTTAATGTATTGTGAGTTCATTTAATTAGGTTTAACTATAATATAAAAATAAATAATCACAATAATAAGTATTTAATTAAAAATGAGTATATTCAGAGATAATGCAGGTTCTTTTAGTTATTATTTAGGAGGTTTTATTTAGTTAACAACAAATTAAAATAAATATATTAAGGAATGCGTATCAACAATTTTAACATTAATGGAGGTAGATCAACAATATTAATAATGGGAGTGGGTCAATAATTCAAATACTGGAAATGGCTTAACAATGTTTATTATGGATATGGTTCAACAATGTTTATTATGGAGCTGGATCAACAATGCAATTAATGGAGGTAAATTAACAACGTCAATAATAGTAGTGGATAAGCAACTCAAATACTGGAAATGAATCAACAATGTTAGTGATGGAAGTGGATCAACAATGTAATTATTGGAAGTGTATCAATGTTAGTAATGATTGTCAAAATTCGTTTGAAATGTATTAACAAATAAGATGTCAAACCGCAAACCGTTGTCACATTTCAAACAAATTTTGACAATCATTACTAATATTGCTTTTATTACAATTATTTCAATAATATCCAATAATATCTTTCAGGTGAACAAAAATAAAATATCCAATCAACTCATATCATGTCAAACCGCAAACCGCCGTCACTTTTCAATCATTTTTGACATTAGCAAATATTAAAAAAATATTTTTATTATTTAATATTTTTTTATGTTGAATAAAAATTATATTAATATAAAAGATATTTTTTTACTCAATATAAGTTGGCGCTATCACTCTCTGAAGCTGAATCTGTGTAATTATATGCATCTGTTGTTTCATCCATGCTGTCTAAGTCAAGGAAATCCCATTTTTCTGCGCCTTTACGAAGTGGCCTCCTGTACAAGAGTTTGTTTGTCAAGCCAGCGCACATGCCAAATGTTTTGTGATAAAAAGTGAGATCATTATCAACATGTAAGGGCCACTTTCCTCCAATTACTCTCCAATATTGTTTGAGTCTGGAGAAGTAATTTTCCACAATTATTCTGCTGCTTGACAATTTTTTATTGAATGTCTTCTGCTCAGCAGTTAATTCGCTATTTTTTCTGCGCTTGTATGGAATTAATGCCCATGGAATAATTTGATGAATTCCTTGATAGCCAGAGTCTGCCAAAAGGACTGGTATTTGATCGATTTCTGCTTTCATCTTATCTGCTTCTGCTTTTAATTTGCTTATCAATGTGTTGGATTTCCTAAACAAATGAAAATCATGTCTCTTTCCTCTGATTGGTTTGGAATAATGTAAAAGAAATCCTTTTGGGCTTACAAAGCACTGAGTTTTGATGCAGCATATTTTATGTTTGCCTGAATAATATTTTTCTTGATTGGCACTTCTGGGTATCTCTTGAACTGTGGCATCAAGTGCTCCCAACATATAAGGATATTCTTTTGATTTTTCGCGATCATCCCATTTAATAAATGATCGCCATTTCACATATTCTCGGCCGATTTTAGAACCAATTGCATCGATCACATCAATGATAATTTGCCTTGTGTGTGTCTTTTTGATACCGAATTTATCGGCCAATTCTTCGAATCCAGGAGCGTGTTTAAGCCATGTTAATGTAATTAATAAACGTGCTTCCATTGAAACCCTAGTATTCTTATAATGATGTAATTCAATTGAAGGGATGAAAAGTCTTATAAGATCTCGAAAATCTTTGCACGTAAGATTTGTTAATTTAATTAATGTATTATTATCGTCATTGTGTAAAATTTCTTCTATTCTTATTTTAAGTGGTTCTTTTTGTTTTTTTGGAGGATCTGGAATTATTGGAGCGTCAGCAAAAGTGGCGATGTAATCGATTTCCCTTTGAGCAAAAAATGCTATTGGATCATCTGTATCTTGAAGTGGTTCAGGATTTGGTACGGGCGTGGTATTTTGATGTGGTGGTGTTATATACGAAAACGATAAAAACGGTTTGACAGAAAAGTGACAACTTTACGTGTCAAAAATATAAAAAGTGATATTTTATTCATCATTATCTTCTTCATAATTTATTTCATATTCTTCGTCTTACCAACAAAAGATGGGAATGTGAACAATTGCGGGCAATTTTTAGCCATTTTGGCTTGGAACTAGAGCCTGCGAGGTACATGGATAGTATCAGTACCTCACAGGCTCTAGTTCTCTATATGGCGCCGAGAAATTTTGGTGAAATGTGGTCGCATTTCACCAAAATTTTTTCGGCGCCATAGGATGAATTGGAGGGTGAGAGATATTATTTCATACAATACTACTCTCACCCTCCAATTCCCAGCCAAAATGGCTAAAAATTGCCCGCAATGTGAACAATTGCGGGCAATTTTTAGCCATTTTGGCTTGGAACTAGAGCCTGCGAGGTACATGGATAGTATCAGTACCTCACAGGCTCTAGTTCTCTATATGGCGCCGAGAAATTTTGGTGAAATGTGGTCGCATTTCACCAAAATTTTTTCGGCGCCATAGGATGAATTGGAGGGTGAGAGATATTATTTCATACAATACTACTCTCACCCTCCAATTCCCAGCCAAAATGGCTAAAAATTGCCCGCAATGTGAACAATTGCGGGCAATTTTTAGCCATTTTGGCTTGGAACTAGAGCCTGCGAGGTACATGGATAGTATCAGTACCTCACAGGCTCTAGTTCTCTATATGGCGCCGAGAAATTTTGGTGAAATGTGGTCGCATTTCACCAAAATTTTTTCGGCGCCATAGGATGAATTGGAGGGTGAGAGATATTATTTCATACAATACTACTCTCACCCTCAATTTTAATTACTTAAACTCATTCTATTTTTTTGACATGTAAATGTCACTTTTACTGAGATCTGACACAATGTCAGATCTCTTTTTTTCGTATATAAGAGTGGATCAATTTGTACGGGCGTGGTATTTTGATGTGGTGAAATACTCTGTGCAGGCGCAGTATTCTGATGTGATGAATGACTTTGTACAGGCGTAGTACTTGGAGCTTGGGTCCTCTGTGATGCTGATTGAGCAGCTCTTTGGCTTGAGGACGAATGACTTTTTTTCTTATTCATAAATGAAGTCAAATGCTCTTTCTTGAAAATTTGAATTATTTTACAATTTTTCTAAAGATATATAAAATTTCAATAGGCATACAATATTTCAATAGACATATATGATTTCAATAGACCTATAAGAATTCAATTAACATATATTATTTCAGTAAGGTGGAGATTTGTTCAACTCATGTTCAATATTATAAAATATATATCATTGTGAATATAACACCTATAAAATATAAAATTATCAGATGATTTTAAATTAAATTATAAGCAAATAGTTCGATATTCTAGAATGAAATGGCTGCCGATGACTTCTTGATAATGATTTCGCCTGTGATAAATCGATAAAACGCCATCGAAGCCATCGATATGCACTAGTTCTGGATGTAAAGTGGAAAATTATAGTATAACTTATATTGCTGATGACTCGTAAATGGACAAAATATATTTTATTCGAATGGATGTTAGTTTTTATGATATTTCTATTATACTATATATGTCAAATCATTGTATAATATATATATAAGATAAATAGCCCGAATTTTTTTTTATAAAAAAAGTGTTTTTTCAAATTTAATAATAAATATTTTATTCTGCTTATAAATCATATTGTCTTGTAATATTTGATAAAATTATCACTGAATTCTTAATTAGTTTTTTTAAAAATATCAATTTTGATTTATTGGACTTGAAAATATTTTATTTATATTATAAATCATATTATCATTTAGTGTTTATCAAAATTATGGTTCTTCGTTTTGTAGCTATATTTTGAATGACAATAGAAAAAAAAAATACTAGAAACTAAATATGTATTTAATTTTATAAGTAAAAATTCACATAATGATAATATATTTGTGAAGTTTATTTGAAGAAACGATTTTTATTAATTCAATTTTCATTATAGCATTATTTAGGTGAAGTGCTCTCAAATTGTGAGCCAGACAAATGTTTAATGGCTGCAATAAAGGAACATAGCTCAGGTGCGTTTGCATTGAATATTTATCGTTTTGATTTCACAAAACATCGTTGCGTTTAATCAAAAATTTGATTAACTTAATAAATTTAAAGATTAAGCGATCTCTTTTTAACACAATCGGTAAATTCAATACGTCTATGAAACAAAGCCATAATTTCTCGTAGTATAAAATATTTGATAAAATTTTATCGCTTACAGAGGTGGAATTAAAGGGTGAGAGATATATAGATAGACTATATATCTCTCACCCTTTAATTCCCTATACAAAGTTCGAAAACTTGGGTGCAATCAGATCTGATTGCACCCAAGTTTTCGAACTTCATGTAAAGAATTGCTTGCTATGATGTACTGATCATGAATCAGTACATCATAGCAAGCAATTCTTCATCTTAAATATATTTTTCTTAATCAATACATAACTTGTTCGCAATTTGGTTTTAGACGCTATATTTTAATCTAATTTCGATTTTTTATAAAATCGCGTACTTCTAATAAAACGCGATTTCAAAAACAATCGCGATTTTTTTCTGTTCGCAATTTTTCAGAAGTTCGCGATTTTATAAAAAATCGAAATTTTTCTTTGCGATCGAGATTTAAAAATTCGGTTGCGATTTTGCCTAGTATATACATGATAACAAACATTCCCCGCTAAAAGATGTAAAATCTTATAAGAAATAATTCCAAAAGAATAACAAATTTTATATGAAACTGAACCTTATGATGTAGTGATTCAAGATCACCGCTTCATAAGATTCAGTTTCAATCTCAAGTATCTCAAAAGTAAGGCTCTATTTTTTGCCATGTAAAGTGTCACTTTTTTGTCAAACCGTTTTTATCGTTTTCGTTTACAACAATAATTATATTAATCTTGGCCAGGGGACTGCTGATGGCCAGTCAGCAGCGGCCACTATGAATCATTATAATTATTTACTACCTAAATTGAGGTAAAAAGCAATAAGACTTGCCGAGCCTCATGCCCCTACCTCATATAAATAGAATCACACTTTAGTGAATCAACATCTATAAGAATGAAGTGTTTTGAAGCTGAAATAATATTGAATAGAAATTAATTTTTTCTGAAATTTTGAATGAAATTATGGGAAATAAAAAAATTACTAAATATTGTATTCATACAAATATATTATTTTAAAGGAAAAATAGATGCTGATAGAAACGATGAAAATTTTTGAAAACTTTACAATTAATTTATGTTCGTTAACCACAGAGCTTGCAATCCAAAGCTCACGTTAGACAACAAAAGTCATGAAGTCTCATACTAAGGGATATCCAACATATATTTTAATAATCTAATGTTTGTGACAAATATTCAACATAAAATTAAGTTTTCGTTTTGTTACAAGGCATTCATACTTTGGAGATATCATATTTAATGTACAGAAAAGTTAATATTAAACAATAAATGCTAAAGAATTAATAAATAAGATAATAAAATAAATTTATACGTAATTACTTTCATTTAATATGCTTTATGCTGTATAATATTGATTAAGAGGCATTAAAAGGTGTTGCATGCTAAGATCAGTCATAATGTAAACCTCTCAATTTTATTGTCGTGAGAAGTATCTCAATTCCTTCAAAAAAATTGAAAAACTATTTAATTTTAAAAATATAATACTTTTAATTAGTTAATTAATTGGAGATATTTTTAAAAAATCACTTTTGATAATACTTTTGAGAACTTTAATTAAAAAATATATTCAAAAATATCCAGGATATCAAGAGGGAATTGTTCCTTATGAGGTATCTAGTTATGATGTATACCTCATAAGGAACAATTCCCTCCTTAAAACGAGAAAACTTGTTCGAAATTGTTTATCATTTCGAACAAGTTTTCTCGTTTTTAATAAGAAACTAAAGGCTATGAGGCACTGATTATATATTAGTGCCTCACAGCCTTTAGTTTCTAATAGATAGCTGGGAAACTTTCTCCAAATGATAAGTTATTCAGAGAAAGTTTCCCAGCTATCAAGAGGGAATTGTTCCTTATGAGGTATATAGTTATGATGTATACCTCATAAGGAACAATTCCCTCCTTAAAATCGTAGACATTTTTATACTTATTAATCAACCATTCAAAATCATATTCCTCTGAAAAGTTATTTTATTAAAAATTTAGAATTTTAATAAATATAGAGTTTGAATTTCATACAATACCTATATATTTTCAATAATGGAATTTGAAAACCATTCTCAAAAGTTCTCAGAAAACCTTTTTTTCATTAATTTTAAGAAATCTGAGTATTAAATTAAGTGATAAATTCGTTTGACACTACTTTAATTTTTCAATTCAAAAAATTATATGTGCTTCTTAAAATGACTCAAAAAATTTTATTATAAAATAATATATAATATTAAAAATCCCACAACATTTTTTTACTTTACATAATCGTACTTCCTCGACGATTAATTTCCACTCAATTTCTATCGTTGACCGAACTTAGCATGCAACAAAGGTTCCATAGTCTGCTTTTATAGGCAAGATTTTTGATAAAAATTTTAAATTTTGAAAAATGATGAGAAAAGGAAAAAAAGGTAAATGAGAGCAAGAGGAGGGAAAAAAAGAAAAAGAAAAGAA